TCTAACATGAGATGCCCTCAGTAAATTTATGATGCTTCGGCTCAAACAAGTTGTAAATGCCAATTATTAATCTTTTTATTTTTTTATTTTCAGGAGTGATTCAGTTAATTTTGCTACTGCAGATTTTAAACCACCTAGCCTGTAGTTGCGTGCTTCTTCCGTACTACCCCTGTCGTGGACAGTTACAATATTATCTGTCTGTTAGTTATGGAGAACTTCTCCTGAGATTGATTTAAACAGATCACGTAATGGTCTGACAACTATACCCCACAGTTCTCTGGGATGAATATTATAAGGACCTACGGTATTGCTTTTGCATCTGAGAAGACTGAACACAAGTTTTCAAATTGTGTATCCAAGTCTTCCTCAGCCTAGTGTTGTGCCCAGTTTTTCTTTTTTATGGTCTCATAGTCTCTTTTTTCCTGTCACAGATATACCTAAAAAAAAGGTTTGCCTGCTTTTACATTGGTGCAATACTTGTTTAGCAGTTGTTTTTTTGTGGTACTGGCATGCTGCCATGTCTGAATGCAGATTTCAAGGCTTTATGGTGGAGTTTGCTCATTGTGAGTGAGGACAGAACAGAAGAAGTACAGCAGACAAAAGTGCATTGTTTGAACATCAGTAGTTTAGAAACAGCAGGATTTAGGAGACAGGAGGCTCGTTTGAATTGTAACATTTTGTGAAGATGTAGTGCTTATTAAAATGGAGCAAGTAATAAAAGTGCATTGTTGGGGTTTAAATGTATACAGGTCATAGCCTTGGTTTTCAACTGGTGGGTCGTGACCCAAAAGTGGGTCGCGACCCCATGTTCAGTGGGATGCCGCATGCCTTCCACTTTTCTAGGTGGGAGGCTCCTCTGCCTCCCCCTAGCGCAGCACTGTCAGGCCTCGCACCGAGCAGCCATTCAAAATATGCTGCTCGGTGCCGAGTGTCTGCTTGAGGTGGGCTAGGCTGGGCTTATGGTCGCGAGGGAGCTCCATCCATACGTGGTGCACAAATGGATGGTGCTCCGTCACAGCGCATTCTGGTGTGGAAGTGCATTGCATTGCCATTCATTCGAATGGCATCCCAAAGGCATCTCCCACCCACAGTTCTATCGGCCGCATTGGAACGCGCAGTACCACATGCCATGCGTTCCATTTGTAGTGCACCTTGGGTCGCGACTTAATGACCAAGGACAAATGTGGGTCCTGAGGTTACACAGGTTGAGAACCACTGGGTTATAGCATATTGATCTTGTAAATGCCCCCAAACTTTGTGCCAGGTCTGATTTTTAGCCTCAGTCTAGAACTGGTAGTAGATATAACTGTAGTTTATGTATTATCATACTTTACACAAACCTACTGTTGTCCTTTTGAATAAAGCAACCCTTTTTTTTTTTTTTTTTAGAAGCTTTTTGCTTCTGTTGTTGGTTGCTTGTTTATGGGCTGCCGATAAGAAATGTGTGGAAAACCAGTAGGACATTCCTAAATGTATTTTACCTGCTGCTTATACCTACTTTTCTGTCTGATAATACGATTGCTGCTTGTATTGTCATAACTGGATATTGCTGCTTGAATGGATAACATTCATTTTTGTCAGTTTTTATTTTAAGCAACCAAGTTCAGAACTTAGGCCATTCAGCATTGTGTGCTTTGTGCTGATCACAAGCATGAACCGAAGATGGAAAATTAAAGGGTAATCGTGGTTCTTCAAAATAAAATGCTCTTTGGTTCACACATCGGCACAATTGCATTCAGCTTTTAGGCTTAACAAAAAAGGAACCGTAAAGAGTTTTCACTTTGAACAGTGGCCTGGAGTTCATTCCTGAGATTTATTAGATGTGACAACATAATTTAGTTTGTGTAGCCATGCTGAGGGGCACTCGGCATGCTCTGATATCTGTTTCTTTTTGGTGAAGCAGAACGCCTTGTGAAAAGTGACATTATTAAAGCTGCATCTGCTCTCTTGTAAAGTATTGCTGAGAACACATTTAGGTGGGTTTTAAAGGTACATTCCAGGTAAAAGCCAATGCCAGGGCTGAACGAATCCCAGGAGCCAAGTAGCCAATGCTCCTTAGAAATTACAGCTGGCACCTAACTTTTGGGGTGTTCTCTGGTTGTTTTTCAATGGATCTGTCTCTTGGATTGGACAGACTAGCTCCTGAATTCCATATTCATTTGTACATATGGGCAGGGACAGATTTCCCACAAGGCCAACCAAGGCCCGGCCTCGGGGCAGCAAGAAGTAGAGGGGCAGCAGGGGTGTGGAATTCCTATCTCCCGATGCCCGGGACATGCATTTCCGGGCGGGTAGTTGTTTTCCTCATTTAGCTCTGCTTTGGGCAAGAGCGGCATTCTGCTCAGCTATTCTGCTCGGTACCACTGAGGTGAAGTGAGAAGAATGGGGAAAAAAATGTTGACATCCCTCGATCAAGAGCAGCCTAAACCAAAATTCCTTTGAACCCAATCTCTGTTTTATAAACTGAGTTTACAGTCGCCGTTTTACTCTCATAGTTCATGGGATTACTCTGACATTGCTTTGCAATGACCTAAGTCGTCTACAATCAATGTTGAAAATCTTTTTGTCCTCATCTATATGTATTACAAAGGCAAGTTACTGTGGCCATTCCATTATGACTTTTTGATTTGTTATTATTGTGCAAGGGTGTATTGTTGATATTTTGGTTTAAGTTTTTAGTTGTTGAAATAAACTTGTGATCATTGCTGTACAGCAACTTGTATAGGAGTGCTTTCTGTTTTTTGTGTCTGTATAATATTGAAGGTGTTTTGCTGTGTTTTGCTGCTCATCCAGATAGCTTCTTCAGTTCTGAGGAAGCTACCTGGAAAAATGGCAAAAGACCTTCAACATTATAGCACAATTCCAATTTAATGTCCCCAAATACTACTATGTATATCTAGAATATATTGCTAAGGACCTCCTTCTGAAAATTCTAGTTGCCTGGCTGCAACAATGATAGTTTTATGGCTGCAACTAATGACTTTCCTTTTTAGTCTGTATAACTAATGGGTTTTTATTATTTAACTCTGAATCCCTAGTGTCCCCTTACATTCTGCCCAGTAATAGATGGTTTAGGCAAACAGGAAGCAATAGAAAATGTCTTCCACTTTCTTGTCCATTGGGAAAAACTAACTTCTGCAAGGTTTTTCGTGACCTCCGATCTCAAATTTTTGGCCTGGTGTCACTAGGACACAAAATGAGGGACTGGGGACAAAACACTCTCTCTAATGGAGTCACAGACCGACATAAAAGACCACCAGAAAAAAAAGAAACAATTGACAAGAATTGGTCTTTAAAGTGACACTAAACTCAGGAGTTAAACCTTAATGTATTCAAGTATCCTAACTATTAACAAAAATGTACCTTATTGTGTATCACTCAGCTGCAGAGTGGTGGCTAATTTACAACATACACAGGGACCATGGGGAACAAAAGTGCCACCCTCCAGAAGAAAGAATAGTGTCAGCATGAATTCAGAGATGATTTGAGGATCTACAGCTGAGTGATGCACAAATAAGATACGTTTAGTGTCACTTTAAGGGATGAGTGTTATGTCCAGACAGCCAAGATTTGCAATTCACAATATAGGAGTATATGAGGAGCATTTGGATAATTTTGATATCCTTCGTTTTGTACAATTAGTAATAGGAGGTGGGGACAGTACTTTCTTGCGCCCTAGTCTTTTACCATTTGTCTACCATGTTGCTAGATGCTATTTCTCTCTGCTTGATGTGCTTTGCTGTGAAATAATAGAGACATTACTGCAGTCCCTGAAAATGCCACAGGCAAATATCATTAACATGTATTTCATAATGACAAAATAGTGACAGGTCATTTCCTCTCTGGAGACAAATGCTTGTATTATTGTCAGGTTTTGTGAGATGAGTAATATGTATGTGTCAAAGCCTTAAAATTGGGAATGTAAATTTTTACTCTTATACATGCTTGTATAATAAAACACATCAGTGGGGAAATTTCAGTGTATATAACAACCTAACTGGATATAGCCTGGCTTTGCTAAAGTGAGCTGTAACTGGTAGCAATGGAGTACTTCACTTTTGCCTTTTTTTTTTTTGCACCAATTCTTGTTTAAAGAATAAGCTGACAATACATTATTTCCTTCCACCTATCCTCCCAATTACAAAACGATTTTCCAGATCGGTAAAAATTTATGTTTGCAGTATTAACATGAATTTCAGGGCAGTATAAAAACATATTTGTAGATCTCTGGCCTTCTCCACATACGTTCATTGTTTTTTCCCCAGAAAAAACAGTGCTGCTGCATTGACTCTCGAGGGCCTCCCCATACAGTGTGTGTAGGTAAAAGGCTTTTGGAAATGTAGTTCTTCGCGGTGTGCCTATGTTAATAGGAACAGACCTCAGAGTAGCTGCCCCTGCAAGACTTGCCTGGTTGCCTGTGTGGAGAACCACATGTGGAGGTTAATAATTGTTAGACTTTAGAATACTTTTGTAAGTATCATTCTCCATTATCTTGCATATTAAACCAAGTTGGGCTAAATTCAGAATTCTGAAGTCAGTTGCTATATCTATATGTCAGTGTGCACTTGTAAGGGCCGGTTCACACCACAATAGTGCTTGCCATATTTTTGCAGATCGCACTGGACCTGAACGCAAGCACTAACGTGCCTGCGTTCCGGGTGCAGGTGATCGCACTGCGGTCAGGGGG